AAAAAAAAAAAAATACATGGTCCTTGTTGTTGAAAGCTTAAGATCCAAAATCCAATATAATGTACTGAACCACCACAGAGGCAGAGCAACCAATTTTACATATAAGCAATTTCCTGTCTTACCTACAAATGCAAATGAAAATTTAAATTGACTGATGTTTAAAATAACATACCTGAACAGTCTTCATTTTCTTTTACAGGCAAGTGGGATGCTCTCAGTATTTCTCTTACTAACTGATCACATAATCCTTGAGCGTCATTCAAATTATAGTTATAGAGGTAGCAGTATAAGAGAGAAAGATAATAGCGTGTCTGAAGAAAACACGTCCTTCTTCCTCCTTCAACAAGAAAGAATTAAGCTTGCATTAAAAACATGTTAGTAAGGTAACATACATGATGTAGGTGCGCTAGTTAGATAGGTGTGTTCAATCTGTGAAAATTCATCAAGCGGTTAACACTAGTGATACATACATTTTATACTCACATAAAATATTTTTTAAAAATAAGTCAGCAGTATTTTGCTCTTTTTCATTATAAATTATGAACAATTTTCTTTTCTTTCATGAGACCCCAGGATGACTAAGACGTGGAAAGACAGTTGTAGACTCTCGTTATTTCAGCACTACGGCCCATCAGGAGTCCTGTGGCACTGTAGGATCAGCACTGGACTGAGACTCACAAAGTCAACAGTTCAAACTCAACAGCTGCTCCTTGGAAAGCCTATACAGGGTTGCTATGAGTCAGAACTAATTCAACAGTACTTAACAACAACAAGTTCCACTAGGAGTGCTAGTGTGGTGCTGCAGGATAAGCACTGGAATAATAAGCAAAAAGTCAGAAGTTCAAACCCACCAGCCACTTCTCAGAAACTGTATACAGAGCCGCTTGAGTTGGAATAGACTTGACAGCACTTAACAGCAACAAGGACCACTAACAGCTTCTACCTCAAGTAAACACAGTACAATATGAAACAAAGGAGCACATACTACACAATTCCCAAAGAACAAATATTAGACAGTCAAAGAGATTTCCTGAAGAATAACTTTCTAATAAGATAGAAAGTTCTAACAGGTATATCCTAATATCTAAAGAATATTTAAGACAAAGGCCACTGGTCATCTCTCCTTTACCCATTCTTGCTGACTAAGAGAACTCCAGGTTACAAAATATCACAATGTTCAGCCAAACATGACCATATGAAAATAGGACTATGCTCTGAATGAAGAGAACACTTCAGAATTTCTATAAAAGCTGTTTACAGAGAAATAACTCAGCTGAAAAGTATACACTTTCTTGTCTTTCCCTATTTATGAGGCCTAAAATGTGTATTTGAGAGATAGAGCTCTATCAGAAATCTTAGTACACATAATGGCTTTAGGATTGGAACTAATGTAATAAAGATAACAGACAAGAAAACTGCAATGCCTGGGTCATTGATACCACAGAAACACCAAATAAGCCCTAGATTGACAAACTCTGGCCTCTTTCCACAAAAAAAGAGTAATACACTTCTTTCTTATTAAAGTCACTACTTTAATAAGT